AAAGTGACTTATGACCGTTTTTCACAGTTACGACCTTTGAAGCATCCCCATGATCAGGTGATCAGAATTCAGAGACTTGGCAGTCGATTCATACTTACAACGGTCGCAATGTCCCAGGGTTACGTAATCCCCTTTTGCGATTTTCTGGTAAGCAAAGTCAACGGGGAAGCCAGATTCACTTAATGACCATGTTGCTTACTTATCCACTGCAGTGATTCACTTAACAACTGTGGCAAGAACGGTGGTAAAGTGAAGCAAAGCCCACTTGATAAATTTCTCAGCAACACAAATTTGGGGCTCAATTGTGGTTGTAAGTTGAGGACTACCTGGAATAGACAAGAGTCTTCCCAGATGAAAGTGTCATGCCCTTGTCAGAATCTGATTTGGTGGAGGAGGCCGAGCAGCTGACAGGGAATGGGAGTGTGGCTCCGTTGGCTGTGGAGGAAACTGGGGAAGGGCGAAGTCCGGCTGGGCAGAGCAGGGAGAGACAGAGTGGGGCAGAGGAAATTCAGAGGAAGACCAATGCCCACCCCCTCTTCATCCTAGGGCACGCAGGGAGGAATGGAGAAGGGAGTAACATGAGTTGCGTGGCTTACGGGGGAGGAAAGGGCCCTGATTTCCTTCATTACCTGCAGCTGGGAGCACAGTATTTAAAAAGGGAAGCTGTGCGCAGTAAGTTGTTGGGAGCAAATCGTAAATTTATCTGGTATCATCATGGCTTATCTGTATTCCTGGCATCTTCCCAACTATGTGAGTGTTGCCGTGCTTTCAAGTCTGAAAGTCTTTCTCCTGCCCTGTCAAGTTAATTACTGCAGCTTTGTTTGGATTTTAAGTTACAGTTTGTGTGTACATTGTTTTGGACTTAATTCTCTGCTGCCAAAGGCTGTTCCTGGGAAAGTTTTTCTCCAGCTGAAGATAACCTGGACATTGGGGGCAAAGTTGGAGATAATAAAGGGACTCTTATTGATTAACTGACTGTGTTGCCTTTGTGCCACGCCCTGGATCATCACAGAAAGCTATGATTTTCTAACCTGTTGCAGGTAATTCTTGATTTACAGCCATTTGTTTAGTCTTTGTTTAAAATTTACAACAGCACTGAAAAAAAATGACTTTAAGACTAGACTTGTCTCACTTAACAATAGAAATTTTAGGCTCAGTTGTGGTCCTACACTGAGGACTACCTGTACTTGAATTGCAATTGGCATGGGAATAATGGTTTTGCCTGCTGGGAACCAGCTTGCTGCCTCATAATCACAATTCGTATGGACAGGGACCTGATGTTCTTGAGATGTTGAGCCACAACTCAAAGTGTGGCTTCCCCTTGGCTGTGCCAAGGTTGATTAAATCGAAAAGAGGGATGAGGAAATCACTTTTCTTAAAGACTCCTAAGTGCCATAGCACCCTACTGGCTGCACATGACCTTCACAAGTATCCACAAAATATTTCGTTTCCACATGAATTTTTCAAACAAAAAGTATCTGAAAATAAGATGTTAAAAAGTCCATATTTAAATGCTTATCTGTACTGGAAAGGAAAGGCAGCTTATAAATATTTAAATGCCAAGACGTATGTATGGATGTGCGTGCAATTTTCTTTCATTTCAAACAGCCAAATGCTACGTGCACAAACATGTTTGTCTCGACAATACTATATTCTATTTTTTTTTAAAAAAACTATTCTTTTCACTGGGGTTTATCGCTTGCTTTTTCATCTCTATTAATGGAGCGGCCAATATCTGAAAACTGATCTCCGTTTTTTGAAGTGTTTAGGTGAAAAAAGAGCTATTTTAACATTACGCTCCTGTAGTGGATAAGACTGGAAGATTATCTTATTCACCCAAGATGCATAATTCATGGAAGGCTGCTGGCATTGAGTTATAAATTCTTGTTCTTGAATTCTTACTGAGAATACTGGGGTCTTTTTCCCCTTGTAGAAGAAATTCTTTTGTTGCAGTAAACAGTAAGAAACAGAACTGTTGGTTATTAAAATGCGTTGCAAAGTTAAAGAAGAACAGAAAAAGCAGAATTTTTTGTTATCTGATAGGACTGATTAGATTCGACTGTCAAGTGATCTAACTGCAAATTTTACGTGAAAGTGTTTTTTTTTTTACTACCCTTGTTTCTTTTTTTAACAGAAAAAAATAGAACACATCCTAGGGTTGGAAGGGACCTCGGAAATCTTCTAGCCACCCCACAATCGATTCAATTTTATGACCTTTTTTTGAGGTGGTTGTTAAGTGAACATTGGTCATTAGGTGAACCAGGAGTTTGTTATGGGCCAGTTTTGTCCAAAAGCCAGAAATAAATGCTTGGTTTTGGCACAAGCTTCATAAAATGCAGGAACATGGCCACGGAACAGTAGAAATGGCCATAGCTGGGGCATTTGCCAAGCACTCAATGCACGGTCATATGATCAGGGAGGGCAGCCATTAGAACTTCAGAACTGGGTCATAAGTACCCCAGTGAAGTCCATTGAGATTTCAAACATTCGTTAAGTGACCGGTCATAAGTCAAGGATTTCTTTTATATGACTGACTAGCTTGATACCTATGCTTCGCTACAAAACTATGTGGTCAGGCTTAGTTTTTGGGAAGGAAAATAAGGGGGGAAAATTCTGCCTCTGCCTACCATCATCTATTGGTATTCATCTGGCTAGCGTCCTGTCAGTGTGTGAGAGAGTTGAGGGCTGTTTGGAAATGGAAGCAGTATTTGCTGTGTGAGCAAGGAGACAGCAAGGAGACAGCAAGGAGCCTGGGTGTGGCTTAGCTCAACTGTTCTGTGCCAAAGCTGCTTGGTGCTCTGAAACTGAAACTGAAACTCCTCTGCTTGTGTTTTGCCTTTGGAAGAGATTTATTTTCAGGTGGGGAGGGGGAGTAGAACTCCTTAGCATCAGAGCATGTTAATAATAATATAGGAAATATTAATGCTCTGGTGGTCATTTCGCAAAATCCTTTCTTAGTGAGCTCCTAGAAGCCAAGAGGAACATAACGTGTCAAATTTCAAGTTTGTAGGCATTACAGTTCTGGAGATTTTGTGATGATGCATGAGTGGTATTTCACTTTTTATATATATATATAGATTTCATGCAGCATCTTACCTAGGTTTGTGATATTGGGTCCATTTTCTACTCAGGCTACAGGAATTCAGAACATCAAGTGGTTTCAACCAAGAGGACCTCTTGGGGTTACTGATTTCACCGTCAAAATCTCCTTAACGCCCAGAAGTTTATTTTGTATTAACACTGGAATCTGCCTTTCAGCCATTGTACAATGAAGAATATTTCATAGATTCAAATCAATACCTTTTTAATACCTTGCAAAGCAAGAGTACTATTAATCTTCATATACGATGTGTATGTAGCCAATTTACATTTACGTTTTCTATATAAATAATGGGATATAGATGGCTGATTACATAGGTTGATGACTATTTTCATCATTAGAGTATTATATGAAATCAGCCTATACGGGGGGGGGGGGGAAGTAATTTTCTCTCTTATTTTTCTTTAACTGGTTTCAATTTATATGTTAATTTTTCTGTTAAGGCAATGGATCATATTTATCATGCCAATTTTTCTAAGATGACCCTTCTAGATATATCCAGTATTTTCTGTTACTAATCTAGCAGCATTAATGACAAGTGTAATAGTGCCTTACTTTTCAAATTTGCATTAACAGATAACAACAAAAGCTGTAAAATGTTTTCTTTTATTCTTTTATTAGTAATTAATGGGATTGTCTGAAGTACTATATCCCCAAATTTACAAAAGTTTGGGGATGACCCCCAAATAAGTAAAATAATTTTTTTCCCTTTGCTATCTCTCCAACATTTATTTCTTTTTTATTATGTGTGAAACATTAACTGGGATTAGATGCTGAAAGTGTGAAAACCTGAAATGTAATTTCTACAAAGCTATTGAGAGAGACTTATTTGTCATTCATTTTTGGATATTTTTAATAGGTTTCTGTGCACCCATGATTGTACAGATTCTTTCAATTAAATGTCATCTTGTAGGAACAGGGAAAACGTAATTTCTCTGTTACAATGTATTTTCTCAAATGTAAGAAAACTGGTGTAATGCAAGTTGTGTTAGTGTACCGTATATAGAATATTTGCAGCTCAGGGCTGAAATGTGGGGTCCTTGGTTCTCTCTGAGCTTGATTGTTTTCTTGCAGATGTTTCACGACCCAACTAGGTAACATCATCAGTGCTAGAAGGGAGTCGAGTTTGCAGAGTGGAGGAAGGACAGGACGTGGAGAACTGTGGGGTCCTTGGTGCTCTCTTGAGCCTGGTTGTTTTGTTGCAGATGTACATGATCTAAGCCTTTCTGTGTCCAGTCAATTGATTGTTTCATTTGGCTGCCATTAAAATATAGGGGACAAGCTAGAAGCAGAAATATTACAAATTATTTGTGACTGGTGGGAAGAGAGATTTTTAAGCCTTTGCAGGTTACTCAGACTCTCCTATCTTGAGAGATTGTTATGGGGATAAAACTGGGTGGTAGATCATGGATGTTAGCCTAAGCTGGGTGGAAAAGATGAGAATACTTAGATGTTAAAGTGAAAAATCAGATCAATCCTCTTTTCTGTTTTAATATGGACTACCTGTTTGGCTCCCACAGAAAAGAACTACGAATGCTTCTGAACTTTTAACTTTTGCAAAGGTAAGAACCTCATCCTGCAAGAAAGACCTTCTAGAAGGCGAACCAAGAAAACGTGTATAAAGGAAAGAAGATAACCTTGAGAGAAATATGCAGAAATTGTTATAAACAGACAAGCACTCAGAAACAAGACAGCATTTGGAAGTGGCTCGTGTAGACACCCCCCCATTTCACAGGAGTATAAGGAGGAAGAAGAAGGTCCAGAACAATCAGATTGCAAGAGTCTGTCCTAAAAGTCAAACTCAATAAAAAAAAAAAAGATTTGAGATTTGATTACCTGCTGTGATCTACTTCACCGTGCTAGCAGTGTGGCAACAGTTGTCAGACAGAAGTAAAAACACATCAAAACACATGTAACCTCATGTTTATTATACAAAAACAGCAGCTTTTGGGTTCCATAGTTCACATAAGTATATGAACAGGATAGTAAGTATGCTCTTGAGATTGCAACAGGGTAACTTTAAATCCGTAAACGATACGTAAAAGTTTAGTTAAAGTATCTTATAGGTCAACGTTGTTTCTCAAAGTTGGCAACGTGGACTTCCATTTCCATTCCCCAAGCGTATTCTGGGAGTCACCTTAAAGTTGATAAGACTCAGAAATGGGAATTCTGTCAGTTGATATTCATTCATCTTAAAGATGATAAGATGGAGAGAAATACTCTTGGTTATAACACAAGAAGTCTTTTAACGTAGCTGTGAGAGGTATTTTGACGCTTCCAGACAGACGGAGTAGACATTGAGTGTGAAACCAGTTATTTCCAATCGTAATATTTGGAAAAAGCTTTCCAGCCAAGAGTTTGGGGGGAAATCCTTAAACATACAGCCTTAAAATTACTATATTAGCATGCTGGTCATATGGAAAAAGATTCTTCCAAGAGGTGGCTACCGTTTCCTGTCCAATCTCCACTTTATCTGCAAAACAAAAAAATCAGGAAGAAACATGATTAAATGTAGGGATACTTCCACGTTGTCTATTTTTTTCCCCCTAATTCAAAGAATTTGGGTTTTATTTGCAAAATGGACCAGAATTGTTTATTGCTCTGAAAACATCTTTTGATAAATTAGCCACAAAGAAACTGTTTAAAAAAAAACCACACACACAAAATCTCCCAAACACGATATTTATCAAGACGTATGTGGCTTCTCTCTGGACCACTATGTGAATTAATTGTGCAGATTTGAATGCGCAAGCAAAATAAGAAAAAAGTTCCATCCACTCTGGGCAACTTTTTCCGTGGCTGAATCTTGATTGTGGGAAATGCAACTCCTGTGAAAGTTAATTGGTCCCTTGATACCAAGACACTAATGTGCACTGAGAGAGAATCAGCTATTCTTTTTTGGCTTTACGAAGTCCTAGCAATGCTCATTCCCTCTGTCTCGTAAGACGAAAAAAGCTGCTGCCTATGCAAACATTTTTATACCCAAAACACGAACCTCACAGTGGTTCATTTTTAAATGTCCAGGTTTTGAAGAAGAAGAAGAAGAAAAAAGTAATACATTAAAGCTTTCTTTGCATTTTATTCCCCTATCTGTTTTCCTGCATTAATAAGAGACAGCAAAAAAACAGTTCAGACGTGTGATCTATCAAGACCAATTTTATAAAAAGTGGACTTTTGGGGATAAAATTATTCCTGGGAATGTTGCCTGAGGCGTTGAAGATACTCTGGTGGTTTTTTTTTTTTTTTTATAAACTATAATAATTTTCAATGAATTTTTGGAAAATAGCATCTTGGCATATCATAGTAAATACTAGCCCAGAATTAGTAGAGAGGCAATATAAGTTTATAAAGTACAGGTAGTGCCACAGGTGCTTTTTCAAAAGGCAACTGGATTTTGTTTTTCCTTGAAGACATTTCACTTCCCACCCAAGAAGCTTCTTCAGTTCTGGTGGAATTCTCTACCATTCAGTCAGAACTGAAGAAGCTTCTTGTCTAAGAATTGAAATATCTTCAAGGAAAAACAAAGCCCAGTTGCCTTTTGAAAAAGCATCTTTGGACCAACAATGTTCTGAGTGGTTGAGAATCTGCCTAGTTCTTTACTACAGGTAGTCCTTGTCTTATGACTAACTGAGCCCCAGAGTTACACTCATAAGTTGTTACAGTAATAAATTGAGGCACCCAACATGACCAAAGTAATTTTCCAGATATTTTTTTTCATGGCAGTCATTAAGCGAACGCTGCGGTTGTTAAGCGAGCCCATTTATCCACATGGAAACTGGCAAAAAAAAAAAAACCATTGCAAATCGACCATGTGAGCATGGAACATCACAATGGGTTGTAAAATTGACCCACCCAACATGCAGATTTCGGGGGGGGGAGGGTGAGAGGTGGGAGGACCCTTTACGATGGCTGGGGTGATTGATGGGCCATAAAGCCCCTGTTCCACAGCCATTGTGATTCTGAATGGTAATAAAATAACTGATTAAATGAGGATTACCTGTATTATCTATTGATTTGATGATTAGATCTCGATGATGTGAATATTCCGTTCTCACAAAAGAAAGCAAATGTACGTGTCCTGGGATAACGATGCAAAATTGAATTTGGGTTGGTGATCAGGACCGAGATTCTCTTCCTTGAAGAACATATTTACTTCTTGAATATATTTAATATTCCAGGAAGGTACTAATATTCCAAGAGGCACTAATACCACTCTATAAAGCCTAAGTAAGACCACACCTAGAATACTGCATCCAGTTTTGGTCACCACACTACAAAAAAGATGTTGAGACTCCAGGAAGAATGTAGAGAAGAGCAACCAAGATGATTAAGGAGACTGGAGACTAAAACATATCAAGAATAAGCAGGAACTAGGCATGGCTAGTCTAGTGAAGAGAAGGACCAGGGGAGACAGGACAGCAGTCTTCCAATATTTGAGGGTCTGCCACAGAGAGGATGAAGGGGTCAAGCTATTTTCCAAAGCACCTGAAGGCCAGACAAGGAATAATGGATGGAAACTGAACAAGGAGAGATTCAACGTGGAAATAAGGAGACATTTTCTGACCATGAGAACAATCAACCAATGGAACAGCTTGCCTTTGGAAGTTGTGGGAGCTTCATCACTGGAGGGTTTCAAGAAGAGACTGGACTGAAATGGTGTAGGGTCTCCTGCTTGGGTGGGGGGTTGGACTAGATGACCTACAAGGCCCCTTCCAACTCTGTTAATATGTTCCTCACCTTGAATTGTTTATAGACATAATAAAGGTGGGATATAAAGAAGAGTAAATGAACCACCCAAATTTGATTTAGCAATTCCATTCTGCTGAACATGAAGGAAAGGATGTGGCATTTATATTTATATTTTTTTGCAGAGTTCAGCTTCGGTTCTAACCTGGAGAAGTTGCAATTCTTCAAGTTGGAACTGATATGCAATGATAGCCTTGTGGACAATCCAATCAAAGAGAGACAAACCCCCTTTTCCTCTGCTCCTCTTCAGTTCCTTCCAATGGGGAAAGAAAAATCTGTTAAGTAAAGAAAGTTAGAGCAGTTGCCATATCTTGGATTGGCTCAGGCCATTAACTAGTTAATTACCTATCATTAATTAGCAGAGGAATTCTTCAGCGATGTTGTCTGGGAGATAAAAGCAAGGCACACCAGCTGTGCCTATTAAAATGGGTTCATTCCTGATAGCGGCGCTTTGATTAGAGCTTTAATAGTGCTTTCCAATCTTCTAAAGTCATGTATTTATTCACTATTAATTAATGATGCATTGCAGATTATAAATTCCACGGTGCTTGCAAATCCCAGGTTTATTTATTGGCGTTTTCTTTTACTCCCTGTCCTTATCAGAGGGAAGGTAAACGTGGCGTGCCCAAGTAACGTGCTACTCTGTTTTGTGGGTTGGATTGGTTCCCAGTTTGCTTCTGAGTGGGATTTAAGGTGCTGGTTGGTACGTATAAAATCCTGCATGGCACCACCGGTCTCTATAGAATCTACTACTATAAAAGAAAAGTTGTTGAGACTCTAGAAAGTGTGCGGAGAAGAGCAACCAGGATGATTAGGGGACTGGAGGCTAAAGCATACGATGAACGGTTGGTTGCAGGAACTGGGCCTGACTAGGGAAGAGAAGGACCAGGAGAGACAGGAGAGCAGTCTTCCAATATCTGAGGGGTTGCCACAGAGAGGATGAGGGGGTCAACCTGTTTTCCAAGGCACCCAAAGGCCAGACAAAGAATAATGATCTGATCAAGGAGAGATTCAAATTAGAAATAAGGAGAGATTTTCTGACAGAAGAATCAACTGATGGAACAGATTTTTGTCTTCAGAAGTTGTGGGAGCTTCATCACTGGGAGCTTTCAAGAAGAGACTGGACTACCATCTGTCAGAAGTGGTGTAGGGTCTGCTGCTTGGGCGGGGGGTTGGACTAGATGACCTACAAGGTCCCTTCCAACTAATCTACTTGTTAATCTAATCTACTTGGCTGCTTTGACCGAAGAGGATTAGCACATTCTAGGTTTCTTGAGCTAAACAATGCCATCTGGGTGGAAAAGATGAGGGAGAATACTTAGGACCTCTGAAATGCACCTTCCTCCGGGTAGAGTGAGATCCCCTCATTCATCTCGCACGTCCCATCTTTTAAATTTTATTGATTTTATTCAATGTCTGTTTAAGCGTTGGGAGCTGCCCAGAGTTCTTGACGTACAGGTAGTCCTTGACTTACGACCACAAATGAGCCCAACGTTTCCTGTGACTTAAGCCGGACAGTTGTCCAGTGAATTTTGACCCATGTTATAATAGCAATAGCACTTAGACATATATACCGCTTTATAGTGCTTTACAGCCCTCTCTAAGCGGTTTACAGAGTCAGCATATTACCCCCAACAATTTGGTCCTCATTTTACCCACCTCGGAAGGATGGTAGGCTGAGTCAACCTTGAGTCTGGTGGGATTTGAACTGCCAAATTGTAGGCAGCTGGCTGCAGAAGTAGCTTGCAGTACTGCACTATAACCACTGCACCACAGAGGCTCCTCAATATAATAAAATAAGCTTTCTTGCCAGAGTTGTTAAGTGAACCACTGCCGTTGTTAAGTTATGAACACTGTTTTTAAGCGAGTCCAGGTTCCCCATTGACTTTGCAACTGACATAAGTACATGCCTGTTGCCAAGCATCTAAATTTTGATCACATGACCATGGGAATGCTGCAATGGTCATCCATCAGTCACTTTTTTCAGTGCCACTGTAAATTTGAACAGACGCTAAAAGAATAGCTGTAAGTTGGGGAGTACCTGTACTTTTAATAAATTAATATATTCTTCTGAAAAATGGAACATATGGTAGTGGAACCCTTTTAACATGAAACCGGCTGGTGGGCCTGTCCCTCTCAACCCAAACTCACCTCACGAGGTTGTGGTGGTGGGAAAAACAGGAGGAAGAAGGAATATTAGATATGTCCACCACCTTGAATTGTTTATAGAGATAATTAAAGGTGGGATATGAAATAAATAAATCTATACATATGAAAGAAAAATATACCACTCACGCATCATCACAAAATCTCCAGAACCGTAAAACCTACAAACTTGGTGTTCCTCTTGGTGCTCACTAAGAAAGAATTTTTCTAAATGACCACTGCAGCATTTAGAGTATTGCCTTTTATTATTATTAATAACACGCTATGATGCTAAGGAGTTCTGCTCTCCCTCGATACCTGAAAAGAAATCTCTTCCAAATTCAAAACACAAGAGGAGAGGAGTTTCAGTTTCAGAGTACCAAGCAGCTTTAGTTCAGAACAGCTGAGCTAAGCCACGCTCAGGCTCCTTGCTGTCTCCTACTTGCTTACACAGCAAATACTGTTTCAGTTTCCAAACAGCCCTCAACTCTCACACACTGGCAGGACGCTAGCCAGATGAATACCAATGGATGCTGATAGGCAGAGGCAGAATTCCCCCCCCCACCACCACCATTTTCCTCCCCAAAAACTAAGCCCGATCACATAGTGAAGCACAGGTATCGAGCTAGTAAATAAATAAATAAAAAACTTGGATGAAAGCAGGCCTAAGAAACAAGCCAAAAGCACCCCACCCTTGAAAAAAAATGCTAGTTTTTTCTTACATTAACTTTGATTCCGAGCCACTTCTGACCTTACCAAGTTGCATTTGGAAGTCGTGATACGTATCGGGATTTCGGATATTGAAGGCAATGTAAACTTCAGGCGTTGCTCTGTTTCCGCCATCCCTGGGAAATCTTTGCAGGACACCAATCAAGTGCTGGCTTATCTCCGGATCGTATACCACATCTGATAGGAATTTAAAGAGGGGGGGAAAAATGGAATAAATGAAGTTGCAATTTTTAATTGAAATTTCTTCCAAGAAAACACCAGAAGGTCCAATTGCCTCTTGAAAAAAAGCACCTTTGGGACAACATGACCTGGATGATGGAAAATCTCCATAGGCACTTTCCATCCATTGCTTCTTGTCCTGCTTTCAGGAACTTTGGAGAATAGCTTGACTCCCTCTTCTTTGAGGCAGCCCCATAGATATTGGAAGACTGCTATCATGTCTCCCCTAGTCCTTCTTTTCATTAAACTAGACATAATCAGTTCCAGCAACCATTCTTTATATTATTTTAGCCTCCAGTCCCCTAATCATCTTGGTTGCTCTTCACTGCACTCTTTCCAGAGTCTTAACAGATAACAGATAATCAGAGTTGGAAGGGACCTTGTAGGTCATCTAGTCCAACCCCCTGCCCACATCTTGATCTGAATGCCCACATCTCAAAACTCCAGAGCTTAGGACACATTTGCATTTATTCCTAACTCAGCAAGCTAAGTCCCATTTGTGAACATCCATTACCTGCAGCAAGAATGACGTCAACTTGCAATTTCGCAAGCTCGTCTTTGGACACTAGATTCCAGTCCAGTTCTTTTACGGATATGCGGACATGGTCATCTTCCAGGTCAACATCAAGATGGCCCTGATGGTTTGGCCTTCCTTCTCTACGGTGGCTGCAAGATTCAGCCTCCAAAGTCAAACCATTCAGCTGGAGGTTCTCGGATAGCTGTTGAAGGACACCCTTGTGGTGATCGCTGAAGATGTACTCTCTCGGATGGCAAACCTTGCAAATGGCAATTCCTGTCAATCCAATTCCGCTCCCCAGTTCCAGAATTCTTCTAAGGAAAGAGAAAGAGGATGAACGTGGAACAAAATAGACGAAGAAGGAATAGTTTCGGGTCTACCGTTCATTGCACGAGGTCTTCTCCGTGCTTTGGAGCTAGGAAGAAGATGGACTTGTTCCAAATCTATCCTTAGCCATGGCAATCGACTAGGTATCATTGGCCCAGTCAGTAAACGCTCTGTTCTGGCCTGCCGGCGGCTGACAGAGCTGGCAGCAGAGTCGGACAGTAGTGAGGAGTTTGGGGAGGAACCTGGGCCAGTCTTGGAGGCTTGAGGAAGGCTCGGTCGAGGGCTCTGCATCAGAGGCAGAGATGGGGCCAGGGCAGGCTGGCAGTCATCAGCTGCCTTCAGGCTCAGACAGCAGTGAGGCTGGGGAGCTTCTGGAACCGGTTCCCAGCCTACATATGCACAGAGTTGCCAAAAGGAAGGCACAATTAAGAACTCAGGATTGATGTGGGAATAAGGCCAGAAGTGGATAATGAATGCACCCCCCCCCCACCCCAAATCAGGATTAAAAGAGGAGCAAAAGGGGAGGGGGCTTTTGTAAGAAACAACTTCGGTCGTCCATTCGTTCCAGCCTCGTGAAGATTTGTCTGTATAACCCAGCCCTTCCCTGTCAGCACTGAGTGTGGAACTATTTACTGGGCAGCGTTCCAGGATTGATAAAGGTCTGAGCTCATTAGCATACTCTTTGCCAAGCCGTTGGCTGACTGTGAATGCAATAAATTCACATTAATGTAATCAAAGAGATTTTTTTGCCTTGACTCAGAATTGATTTAGTGCTTTTTGGGGAGGCCTAGGACAGAACATGCTCAGCCTACCCTACCCGATAAGTAAACACATAAAATAAGGAGAGTTCTCCACGCAAATTGCTTCATCTTTCAGAGAAAGACGGGATAAAATGACTCCTTCACTTACGACCATGTGTTTAAGAACCATTCGACATTATAAGGGCACTGAAAAAAAAAAAGATCTATGACGGGTCCTCACTTTAGGAATCTTGCAACACTCCCACGGTCAGGTGATCAAAATTTTGCAACTGTCATGAGCTCTGCACCTAAAACCCACAAATAGGATGCCACTTATGATCACAATTGAACCCCAAATTTCTGTTGCTGAGTGGGATATTGGTTAAGTGAGTTTCGCTCCATTTTACAACCTTTCTTGCCACCGTTGTTAAGTGAATCACTGCTGTCGTTAAGTTAGTAACACAGTTGCAAGTGAATCTGGTTCCCTCATTGACTTTGCATGTCAGAAGGTTGCCAGGCGCCTGCATTTTGACCACGTGACCATGGGGAAGCTGCAATGGTCGCAAGTGTGAAAAATGGTCATAAGTCACTTTTTTCAGTGTCGTCGTAACTTTGAATGGAGGAGTGGTGCGGTGGCCTAGAAGTGGAGCTCTTGCCTCACAATCGGGGGGCTGTGAGTTCGATCCTAGGTACAGGCAGATATTTCTTTCTCTGGGCACAATGAGAATATATCTGCTGAAGAAAAAAAAACTCCGCATTGGCGACAGGAAAGGGATCCGGCCATTAAATACTATGTTTGCTCCATTCAGTTGCCCAGACTCCACCCCACAAGGGATTATGGGGTCATTAAATGAAGATAATGTTGTCGTTTTGAATGGTCACTAAATGAACTGTTTTTAAGTTGAGGACTGCCTGTTTAAAATTAACTGAAGCACTTATCATGTGTATTATACAGGTGGCTTGACGCTTATTTGCCCCTCCCCATTTTCTGAAAAAAGTGTATCCTTTGCTCCATTTTCCCAACAGGTCCACCTCCTAGTGGGCCCTTGTCATCTTCTCCAAGGGAACAAGTGTCAGGATTCCAGTAGTTACCCCCCAACTAAATCAAGAGTCTCGAGCCAAACTTCCAAAACTTCAAAAGGATTTCTTGGGAGTTAACATGCCGGCACTGCCTGGGTGTAGCCAACTCTGAGACACATCATTCATTGTCACCCTTGACCCTGGTTTCCCCCCCACCCCCTGGGTGTATCGTAATTCATATTCTCCAATGGGACACATCCATAGCCAAGAGCCATCAATCATATTCTCCAGTTAGAATTTTGCACTGCAAAAACTTCAGTCACCTAGTTACTATCTTTGAAAACATGTATGGAATGCACTTTCGGTTTGCAAGATGCTGCACTGCTCCCCCGTCCCTTTCTGTTGGCAACTCTAAAAAGACCATAGAAATATTTTATGAGTTGACAATAAGCTTAACTGGCTCTGTCCAAGACTAAAGTGGGGGAAACCTTACCTGTTTCTGAAGACCTCTGAATTCTCCAGAGCCCATTCGGCCAGGTAGAGGCCAGCATCCCAGGTGACGAGGCCTGTGGTTCCCCGTGAAACAATGGCCACGTTTTCGCGAAGCGTGATGGCATCTCCTGAGGGCTGAAAGGAACATATTGGTAGCTGTTCCTGCAGCTGTTCTTCATAGGAGTCAATCTTGAGTTTCTTTCTCAACCTTTCCTGTCTTCCTGAGCTAAACTCTTGTTTTCCTAACAACTGGTGAACATATTCATTAAGGGTATGGCCATAACTCTCTACGAAGACAATTTTAACAAAAGCATTGTAAGTCTAGTGCGTGCTGGGTTCTAGTAGAATTCATATAAGGTGAAAATGAAGACTGAACCTGAAGATTTAAAGGCGACTGCATTGTTCACACTTGTTTTTTTTTTGTTTTTTTTTGTTTTTAAAAAGAGATTTCCTACTTAAAGGGATCCTTGATGCTGAGTTTGTTTGTGTTCTTGAAGATGTTTCATTACCCAAACTAGGTAACATCATCAGGGCTAGTGATGATTCCTACATACCAATAAGTAGTTCTTGTAACAGTGTGTGGTTTCTTCAGTGTTTAGGACAAGTCCTAGGGCTTCGTAGAGTTGATCCAGAGGCTCACTGCTTGTAGATTCATGCTACAATTAAGGGGGGGGGGGGGACAGCAGAAGATACGAATTTGGGAAGAAGATCCAGACAGAAAACAAAATGCTCCAATGAGATTTTACTTTCCTTCCACAATACTTTCTATAACTTGGCTGCAGAATAATGTCCAGGCTTACCTGCTTTTTACAACTAGCAGGAGAGAGTCATATAAGCAGACATCAATAGAAAAGAAAAAATAACCCACTCCCAACTGTTAGATGAAGCATGAATCTCAAGATATAACCCAACTTTCCTCAAAATTTATATCAAAATCATTTGATATATTTATATCAAAATTTATAGTAGAGGTCAAAACGTAGTTACAATCTAAAAAACATAGCAAAGCATTCAAAATCACCTAAAATAAATACATCAAAAGCAGCAAATTATTCCAATTATTAGTGGAATTTTCTAGAAGGACTGAGGTAAAAAAAAACCCACCAAGATGGCAGCCACGTTCCCATTGTTGCTAGAATAAATGTCTAATTAAAACTGATCAAGGAACGTGATAGTGGTTAAGGAAACCTTGTTTATGGCTATATTCCAGGCTATTATTTTATTTTTTTTAATTTTATTTGTAAATATGCCTGCTTAGAGCTTTTAAAACGGCATATTTGTATAGCAAAGTGATCTGTAGCAGAGCCCTAAAACAGGACATCTTTCAGCTGGCTTCATTAAACCTCCCAAGTGGCGCCTTTAATTCAGCCTCAAAATAAAACGATCGTTTTCTCTGAAATCTCACCACTATTAGTATAGTTTGACTGGATTCCAATCTACAGTCAGAAGTCCAGAGAGATTCTGGACCCAGCATTTGTCAATCTTGGCATCTTGAAGACATATGAACTTCGCTGGGGAAGTCTGAGAGTTGAAGTCCATCTTGAAGGTGCCAAGGTTGAGAAGTACTGCTCTGGGCAGTCTTCAAGGACAGTCTCATGAAGAGTTCGTTACGGTAATCTAAGCTGTGTGATCACCACAACCCAAACCCTACCTTTTTGATCAGCTCGGATAAGAAGCGTCTTCTGTATTGAACAGATGGAGGATACTTCAAACAGAGTGGATCAAACACAGTCTGAAACGATGAAAACAAGAGCAGACAGCCACATGGTAAAAGGACCTCGTATCTGGTGCTGTCTGAGTAATGAGTAGTTTGGGTAATGAAAGAAAACAACCCAGCTCAGAGAGCACCAAGGACCCCACAGTTGTCCTCCTCCTCCTCCTCCTCCCCCTTTCTTCCTCCTCCTCCACCACTCTGTAAACCCCTCCCTTCTAGCACTGATCTTAGTGCCTAGTTGGGCAATAAGATGTTTGCAAGAAAACAGCCCAGAGAGCACCAAGAACTCCAGTTATTCTCCTCCTCCTCCCCTTCTCTTCCTCCTCCTCTACTCCACAAACCCCACTCCCTTCTAACACTGATGTTGTTACCTAGTTGGGCAATGAAATGTCTACGAGAAAACAACCGAGCTCAGAGAACACCAAGGACCCCACAGTTATCCTCCTCCTCCTCCTCCACTCTGTAAACCCCTCTCTTCTAGCACTGATCTTAGTGCCTAGTTGGGTAATGAAACTTCTTCAAGAAACCAACCAAGTCCGTAAAATGAGGACTCAGATTATTGGGGGAAAGAGGCTGACTCTGTAAACTGCTTAAAGAGGGCTGTAAAACACGGTGAAGCGGCATATAAGTCTAAGTGCTATTGCCCTTCCTTCCTTCCTTCCTTCCTTCCTTCCTTCCTTCCTTCCTTCCTTCCCAATGGTTAGAATGCACTGCCGACTGCCATCAGTTCAATCCTGACCAGCTCAAGGATGACTTGGCCTTCCATCCTTCCGAGGTGGGTAAAATAAGGACCCAGATTGATGGGGGCAAGAGACTGACTCTGTAAACCACTTAGAGAGGGCTGTAAAACACTGTGAAGTGGTATATAAGTACTACAGTTAATCAGCAGTAGTTAGAATGCAGTATTGCAGGCTGACTCTGCCTACTGCCAGCAGTTCAATTCTGACCGGCTCTGACGTAGTTGACTCAGCCTTCCATCCTTCCAAAGTCAGTAAAATGAGGACCCAGATTGTTGCTGACATAGTAAACAGTCCAGAGAGTGTTGTAAAGCACTATGAGATGGTATATAAACCTAAGTGCTATTGCTATAACTCATGATTTGCAAAAGCACAAAAATAAACCTAAAAAAACCCCTTCACCTCTTAGCTTTGAGGGGTGCACAACCTCAGCTTGTACATAATTTGTTTGTTTGTACATAATTGGTGCAAAACAGAGAGAGAGATGGAAGAATCATTGGCACACCCTCCTTCCTTGAGGTTACCCTTTAAAATACCCCCTACCTCAGCTTCTCCATCAATTTGCATGGAAAGATCGGGAAGGAAATAAGACCCACCTTCAAAAAAATATTTACCTTCTGCAGGACAGCCAAAAACGGAGAGGAATCGCCTGAATATTTTAGGACCTCTTCAAGACTCTAGATAACAAAACACATGTACGATTTAATGCATTTAAAGGCAGTTAAATGAACTACAGCTCATAAAAGCATTTTTTTATTTTTATATATGCGGCAATCAGCAATTTCTGTGTTCTTCTATGAAATCTAAAGATTTTTTTCAAAGTGATTTTTTATTTTTTTATTTTTTTAAAAAAAACATCTCACCTTTATTCTGTGCTTGGTGGAAAAATGAAAATTACAGTTCAAGTCCTCCTCAATTTACAACCACAACCGAGCCCAGCGTTGATGTCGTTAAGTGAAAAATTCGCGAAGTGCATTTTGTCCCATTTTTACCATCTTTCTTGCCCAGGTTGTTAAGTGAATGAATCACTGCAGGTGTTAAAGTGAGTCACCACGGTGGTTGAGCGAATCTGGCCTTCCCTGTTGACTTTGCTCAACAAAAGGTCACCAAAGGGGATCCACATGACACGCACACACACCCCGGGACAAGGCGACTGTCATAAACAGGACTAGCTGCCCAGCGTCTGAATTTTGATCATGGGAATGGGCTTCGAGCGTCATTAAGTATGAAAAACGGTCCTAAGTCACTTGGTTTGCAGAGCCCTTTTATCTTCAGTCACTAAACGAACTGTTGTGAGTGGAGGACTACCTGTATCAGGAATTCTCCTTTCCATTCAACAAAAAGATGTTGGATAAGAATTTTTCCCATTCGCTCAACTAGAATGAACTTCTGAACACCAAATGTATCAAAAGGAATCCTTTATTGAGATGAGACAATTCCTGTAGGAGTTCAAAGCAGCGTCTGAAGTCTCTCAGGCATACAGGGATAGATAAGGGAGTTTAGAACCCCTCCCCTTATCTCGATGTGTATTTAGTGAAACAAAAGCCAGTATGTTAATTCCTCCCCACCCCTTTTGTAAGGAACTGTCTTTTTCACAGTTTCCCAGGACATACCTAATTTCCCACCCACTTTTTAGAACGAACTTTTCCAGAGATTCCCAGGACACATCTCACTGTGGAATTTTTATGATCTTCTCATCTCCTGGCTGTGCCTCTCAGAGGTGATAGTTCTGGCCATCTGGCTTTTCTCCCTCCATTGTATCATGCGTGGGTTACACAAATTCGATATAAGATTAAATATATTCAGGTTACATCAAGAAAGGATTTCTTTATCAGCCTCCCTCCCCGTTTCTTCTTCCACGGAAGAAATGACAGATACACGGATCTGACATTGTCTGAAGTAGTGTAGGGTTTTCTGCCGAGGCAGGGGGTTGGACTAGAAGACCTCCAAGGTCCCTTCCAACTCTGTTATTCTATTCTGTTCGTATTCCTATCCCTACTCTACTCCTATGCTGTGCTATTTCATTTCTATTCTATTCCTACTCTACTCTACTCTACTCTACTCTAATTCTATCCTGTCCTATCCTATATTCTGTTCTGTTCTGTTCCTATTTCTACTCTACTGTACTGTACTCTACTAACTCTACTCTACTCTAATTCTATCCTGCCTTCTCTTCTCTTCTCTTCTCTTCTCTTCTCTTCTCTTCTATTCTATTCTATTCTATTCATTCCTATTTCTATTCTATTCCTACTCCTACTCTACTTCTAATCTATTCTACTCCACTCTTACTTCTACCCTTATTCTACCCTTATTCTATTCTGTTCCATTCCATACCATTCCATCTTCTATTCTATTCTATTCTATTCTATTCTATTCTATTATTCTATTCTATTCTATTCTATTCTATTCTATTCTATTCTATTCTATTCTATCCTTCGCGTTTCTCTCGCAGCAGCCAGGCAGTCAAGTCCAAAGCAGGGACGAAAGCCCCGCGCTGTAATCCAGATGTTCAGGGATTGCAATTCCCTGCAGTTCTGGATACTACAGCATGCATGAGCCGCGCATCTGGCAGGCTAATAAAAAAAAGGGGAGAGGGCATCCAGCAGAGGGGGTGGGGATTCCAGCCCCTCCTCGCCTTCCTAGCCTGCAATTTCTACCCCCCCCCCCCCCCCCCCCGCGCCAAATGTGGCCAAATTTGAAGCCCCTCCCGCTCGCAGGCCCCGCCTCCAAGCGGCGCTTCCCCCACGCGGGCCTCTCAATCAGCGCTAAGGGGCTTCGCTGCTGGTGCAACCGTGCGCCCGCGGGCGCTGCTGCGCGCTCACCTCCCAGGGGAGCTCGGCCAGGCGCTTCCCGGCTAGGAAGCCCCTCTGGAAGCCGAGCGCTGCCTTCTCTTCCAGGGCCTGCCCTCCTTCCTCCATCGGCGGCTCCTCCTCCGTGCCTCCCGGCCTTCCGGAGGTGTGGCGGGGGCAGGTTCCGCGGCGACCCCGCCCGCGAGTGGGCGTGTTTGTGTGTATTTGGGAGCGCGTGTGTCCGCGTTTGCGACGATGCAAGTCGCTGCGTTCAGGGGTTGCGTTCGTCCCAAGTGCATCACTCAGCTGGAGATCTTTTGGGGGGTAGATAACAGAATCACAAGAGTTGGAAGGGACCTCGGGAGGTCGTCTAGTTCAACCCCCTGCTACCATTCCAGGCAAGTGGCTGTCCAGTCTCTTCTTTAAGCCTCCAGTGATGGGGCACCCACAACTTCTGAAGGCAAGCCTCTCCAACTGATTAATTGTTCTCACTGTTAGGAAATTTCTCCTTCGTTCTGGGTTGCTTCTCTCCTTGCTTAGTTTCCATCCATTGTTTCTTGTCTGGCCTTCTGGTTCTTTAGAAAATAGGTTGAACTCCCTCCCTTCTTTGTGGCAGCCCCTCAAATATTGAAACGCTGCTATCACGTCTCCCCTACTCCTTTTCACTGGACTAGATAAACCCCATTCCTGCAACCGTTCTTCACGTGTTTTAGCCTCCAGTCTTTGCTTTTTAGCCTCATCTTTGCTTTTTCTGCACTCTTTCCAGAGTTTCAACACCTTTTTTTTTATAATGGTGACCAAAAATGGAGGCAGTATTCTAAGTATGGTTTTACTAAGGCTTTAAGGCTTTATAACGTGGTACTATTACTTGATTCTATCCCTATGTTAATGCAACCCAGGATTGCATTGAGGTTTTTGGGCTGCTGCCACATACTGCTGGCTCGTATTTGTTTGTTTTATTTGTTGAGCATGTATTAGTTAACAGATATAAGTATAAACATGATTTTTAATACATGAAATGGATACGAATAAAAGGGAACATTTGGACAGGGATGGCAGGCATATTGGTGCACTTTATTTTATTTATTTATTTATTTATTTATTTATTTATTTATTTATTTGATTTGCCAATTGTTTAC